TCTTGCGGTACTCACACTCAGGAACTTCCCCCAACTCTGGTGCTGGTACTTCTACACCGGTGCCCTTTGGGCTCTGTGGGTCCCCAAAAATTCTGACATGATGGCCACTCCTATCCCTTTAATTCCATGAAGCTTCCTTTAGTTTCCATGAAGCTTGCCAATTTTAAACAGTTTTTGATTCATCGGAGAGATGTATGACACGTCATCAAAAATGGAGCACTTGTAACTTTCAAATAAAAGTTTTTATATTTCTTCTTCGGCTTAAGTGGACCTTCTTCGTTGAGTCCATAAGGCCATGTCGCCTTTCTCTCCATCTGCAGACACCAAATTGTTTTCCTAAGAAAATATAACTTTTTTTCTTTTTTGGAAATTTGAAAGAAACGACAAAAGTACCTGAAGTGGGCGGAGCAGTAGTGGTAGAGCTGCCATCTGCTGGAGAGCGCCCAAAGTATGCTCTGAAACCGAAACATGAGCCAGATTTGTGGTCGAGCTTTCTGGTCCGTATAGACCGCACGAGCGACACACGTGATTAGGGGCCAAGGGGTTAAGAGTAGCATGTTGTCGTGTAACCCAAGGTAATGAGTTTGTGACTTTCGGCTACTTTGTTTTTATGGTTACAGATAGTTTATTTGTTGTATGTGTTCGGGCTTCTTCACTCAAAGGGTAACTGCAAAGAGAAAAATTTTTTTTTCAACAGCTTAATTTGGACAAGCATGTCAAAAAACAATTTTTCCGTGAGAAAAAAATTTTTGTACAGCAATATTTATTGCGTGAGACTGATTCTAGTTTGCAGCTATTTTGTCCATTTTAAATTGCACGCCATGAACGAAGTTGGTGTTCCGTTACGTTTAGCCCCATCATTAGCTGCTATACTTCTCATTGGCTAATAGTTTGACAGCTTAGATCTTGGTTGTTAAACCTTTGTTATATGTTGTAATTTCCTTTTGAGCGGCATATTTTTACGTTTAAAGAGTAACCCATGTAATGAGTTATTATTTTTTACAAAAGGTTTGCAAGACTGGCACTTTTGTTTTGATTCATACCATAACAAACAAAAGCTTTGCCATTCTTTCATGGCCGCCGAAGTCTCTGCTCCCACCTGTCTCACCTACCTCGACTGGTCGTTTCGCCGAAGTGATCAGTGTTTCGTGTTGACCCAGGTGCTTGAGTGAGACTTCCTGAAGTGAAGTAGTGTGTGTTTAGTAACTGTCGCCAGTGTTAGTGATGGGAAGCGACACGGGGTTTTGGATTTCATAGCGCGGTTTGTAACTTTCGTTTTCCTCCTTGCTTTCTTAGAGTGTGTGTGTTTTTTTTTTTTTTTGCTTGTTTGCGCGTGCAAATGTTGACTTTTTTTTTAAAGACATTTTGCTATGTTTACATTTTTTTTTAATTATCACTGAAAAAAACAAAAACAATTGTTGTAGACGATACGTCGCTGAACTAAATGGTATGGGATTCCATTTTTGACACACTCTGCTGCACAATGCCACTTTCAGATGTGAGGCAGCTCTTCACGCAACATCTTGGGAGTATTCTTTTCGTAGCTGATCACGGGATTTCCCCACGTGCACTCACTATTAATTGCCAACACAAATCTACAAAACAACTCATCTTGAAGTACAGAACAGCGAGCGGAACAAACATAACTGCCAAGGAATCGCACGGCGAACGGATCCCGAACGCATTTCGTCTGATGCACCCGGAAGAAAAAAAAATCAAACGGTCGGGTGTAGCCACGTGACTTCCGCCACTCACTCTCTCCTCGCCTTTTTGGCTTTATTATGAAAACACGTGACTCTAGCAAAATATTAATTAGGTAGTATTCCGACACCGTAATAAATCGCCTGGCAAAAAATAAAAAAAAAAAAAAAATTGGGGGGGGGTGTCAATGTCCCTTTAAGGCTTGTTCACACGCTTGCGACCTCTTAGAACCGGGTGCCTTGGAAGTTGGAACCTCTTACCGCCGAATTCACAAACCTCACTCCAATTGAGGGCCCCTCCACTTCCTTGAGGAAGGCGCGAGGGCCGGCGCTGGGGGCCGATTGCGATAAGCCTAGGCCGCCTATCTGTTGTCGCGATTGGCCAGTACCGGCCATTGTGCCTTCCTCGAGGAAGTGGAAGGGGCCCCTCAATTAGAGTGAGGTTTGGGAATTCGGCGGTTAATCTCTTACAACGAGAGGATACACTGGCGCCATCTATTGGGTAGCAGTGTAAACTTGGCGGTCCGGCATACTTTCTATTTTTCTCGTGCATTATCCTTTCTTTCTTGGCGCGAAAAACTTTTGTCAACGTTATGAATGAGCCTTTCTTATAGGTATTACGCACATTTGACCTCTGAAATCCCGCAAAACTTCCGCTCTTGTGAAATGCAGTTACAGGGTCACCGCATAAATGGCACCAGAGTGCCAGTGTGTCCTCTCGTCCTAAGAAATTTTAAGAGGTTTCAACAGGTCTCGCCTCACTCTGTCGTACTCGGTTGCAAGAGGGTGAACGGGTCTTATTGTCACAAGTATAATATCAGTTTTTTTTAACCATCTTTGTAGCAGCACTGTTTTTTCATTCTCAAATTGCATGAAATTCTGCTGGAGGAGGTGAAACGGTTTGACCGGTGAGATATTCTAGGATTTGTTTCTGGAGTATAGTTGCTTGGGAATACTGGACTGAACCTCCAGGGATTCATCACTCGGAGGTGTGCACCACATAGGTGTGTGAGTGCAAGAGACATCGGTCTGGGAACCAAAAAGTGATAACCACGTAGCAGTAGCAGCGAGGGAAGTGCTGTGCCAAATTGCCTCATGAACGCAAGTCTGCTACATGTTGTGCCAAAATGCCATTTTGGCTAAAAAGTGTGCGACACCTGTGTAAAAAACCTAAACAAAGCAAAAAAAAAAAAAAAATTCAATATCGGTTGAAAGGAGAAGAGAACGAAAAGGGTACAAGCATGTATTTTCTAGGTGTCTTTATAGTCCGTTGCAACCTAAGAACGAAGGGCGAGGGTAAGACGGGCCGGGGAGGAGGAAGCAGACGGAACGCTGGAAAAGAAAGGGGGAAACCTCCTTCTCTCTTTAGCGTTCCGTCTGCTGCCTCCTCCCCGGCCTGTCTTACCCTCGCCCTTCGTTCTTAGGTCGCAACGAACTATAGTCATCCTAGCTCAAAATTCGTTGACCGTGCTGGCCACATCCCTGTCTGAACTTTCAGACGACGGTGCCGTGATGTCGGCGATGTCACAGAGCTAAAAGTGACTAGAAAATTCATAAACTGGTGGTATAGCAGCTGCTGTGATAAGAGAGAACCAGGGTCTCATACTCTTGATGAGATGACTTAATTATCACCTCAGCCACATGCCTTCAAGCCATGGTATTATCACCGCTCGCGTCATTCTTCACCACCTCCCACGGGTGCGCGTGCGTCGAGCTTCACCACTTTGCATCTGTGTGCTAAGAGAAATGGCTTAAGGGGGGGGGGGGGGGGGGGGGGGGGTGCAACGATTTCTGGACTTCGGTCAAATATCTGTGGAGGTTGCCCTCTGACACTTCTAAAGTAAAGAAACTTGTTTTCATCTGTGTGTCCCAGTTGTTGCGTAAAAAAAAGATAAATATTGGCATTTCGGGCACCCCTCGACTCACTCCCAGTCTTCCAGGTCACACCGGGTCGCACTCCTGGTGACGTCATTCGGAGTGCCGTGTAGGTTCCCGTGTGCTCTCTCGGAGGACGCTTCCTCTCCCTCTCTCTGCTGACATTAGCGGGCGTTAGGCTGCAGCTTAAGCTGAGCGAGGTCACGTAAGCTTTTCTCCGTAGTTCCTTAGGCTGCCACTTGCGGCTGCAGGTGGGGGAAAAAGCTTGACTTTTGCTTTGCGGTTATGCAGCAGAATCGCAACATTTTTTAATGAAGATGTTTTTTCTATCCTCCGGGACATGATAAACAACGTAAAAATGACGAGATGCGAATTCTTTTCATCATAAAATCGTTGCACCCCCCTTTAAGCAAGGGAACACCCGTGTGTTAGTGTGAGGGGCTTGGAAATGGTTCCCGCACAGCAGTCGATTGAAAAGGCATAGAACTCTGACTCAACCTTGGCTCCAATGCTGCTAACTCTTGCAGAATTATGAGTGTCACTTTTAAAGCTTAACTCCAATTTTTTGGTAATATTTGGGAGTGGTGTTTTTCAGTTATAGAATTAGATACTTCAGTTGTGTAGGTTCATAAATCTTGGTGGAACATATTTTCATTGATTGATGTTTTAGGGGATATGCTAGTTTTTCTGGAATTTAGCATAAGTGATATTGACAGAAGAAATTAACTCACCTGAGTAAGAGGAAAGTTGTGCATCATGTACTTTTATGATACATGCTATAATTGCAAAAGGTAATAAGTATATGCTTCAATATCAAAGATGAACCCTGAGTTATATCAAAGTTTGATTCATTTAGTGATACAATCGTTTAATTTTCAAATGATGTGCTAACATATTTGGGATCTGCTCGTAAAAGATCAGTGGCTGCTCCAGACCAACATTTTGCCTGCAACAAAAAGTAAGATGGCGCTTCCATCACTGCAATAGCGGATGAATGTTTCTGTTACTTTTCTTGATGACGGATTGGATAAATGTGGATTCTTGCTTCATGGTGCACGCTTTAGGCAGGCTTATTTGGATGGCAGCTTTGTGCATGCTTTATGCTGTATTCACACGAGGGAAAAACCTCCTGACAGAACTGCATGATAGCCGGAGAGGCGTGTCTCCTCGTTTCCGACGCGGAGGCAGCGTGTGAGTCGAGGAGTGTCTGTACCATCTGATCATTCCCTCCACGCCTCCGTCGCGGAGCTCAATGTCAGTGCACCACCTCAGAAAGACGTGACATCAGCATCACGTGATGCGCCCCCCCCCCCCCCCCCCCCCCTAGGAGCACCGTGGTGGATTTCTCACTCGTGTGAATACCCCATTACCCACCAGGTGACTGTTGTGCGGTGTGGAGAGTGATGGAGTGCCCTCCCATTTCAGGTGTGCACGGGTGGCAAGCGGAAGAAAGAAGAGATTAGTGTGGACTGTCTTGACTTCAACCGCAAGATCCTGCACACGGCGTGGCATCCGCAGGAGAATGTGGTGGCTGTGGCAGCCACCAACAATTTGTACATATTCCAAGAAAAGTTTTAGCTACCGCTTGGGCTGCACGAAATGTAAAAATGTACATAGTCTCATCCCTGAACCTAGTTTTTTTTTTTTTTTGTCTTTAGGAAGTTCATTTTAGTTTGGCCCCTCTGCAGTCCCGTTTCTATACAACACGGGTGCCTGGAATCATGGTTTTGTAGAGCGTACTAATTCTATTTTACTTAGGCCCCCCTTGGTGTTTTGTTTCCGCCAATTGCATGTCGTGGATGATGGGGGAGGGAGAGCACTTGCTCAAATGCTGTTGTGCTGCCCCAGAAAGCGCACTCCTACAAAAAGAAAAAAAAGAAAAAGAAAACGTGCGAGACTCTTGTCTCCCGAATTCTCGTATGTTGCCAGTGGACAAAATAAACAACGTCTTAAGAAAGTGCCTTCCTGCTGTGTACCCTGTTCATTATGATGTGGACTTTCTCCTCTGGGCCAGATGTCCTCAGGACAGTGGTCCTGATGCTTTGAGGACTGGTGGATCCTTTCACAACACCAAAAACTGGGGGAGACAGGAATAGGACCATTCTTGAGGCCCTATTGGCATGTGTATGTGCTATGCTCAGCTGGGCTTTGTTGCTTTCGTGTCGGGATGTTTTGTTGCAGCATAATTTGCCTCGCATGGGAAGGAGATGGCTGGGAAGACTGGGATTTGCTGTTATGTTTCAAAACATTTTAGCTATATGGAAATTTAATACTTCGTTCAAAAATTGTTTTGTCTATCATGGGGGCCAGTGGCATCTGGAGGAGGAGTAGGTTGTGTACAAAAGATGAGAAAAGCCAAGAATAAGCAGACAAGGAAGGGTACAGATTCTTGGGATTTCCAGCTGTTGGTACAATACAGTTGGGGATATGTGGGAACGTAGTCTCTCTTCTAAGGTTCTAGAAATAAAAATTTTAATATCAGTGTTCCAAGATTTCATACCTACCTTGTGCCTATTGTCAATGCCTGCTGGCTAGTATTGGGGTTGAATGCCTCTGGTGTTGATGTTCTGTTTAGGCCTGAGCACGAAGTGGAAAATTCAAACCCTTGACGTCGCCCATAACATAGGTTGTTTTAGAACATAAAGCCCCCTATATGATTTTAATATGTGCGTTGTGTGAGTGCTGCTTAAAATAAACTCATTTGTTATTAATGGACAAAAAAACTCGTAAGAGGTCAGGTAATAGCTGGTTTCTATTGTACTGCCTTGTAATTGAAAAGTAATACATAATGTGTAGTTCTGAGCAGCTTTCATTTCTGAATGAGTCAAGACCGGAATCCCAGATATTCTGGCTATCCTACCTTAGTCTACACGAGGGTTGTGTGGCAGTCCCAAGCGATTGTGTCATTAGCAGATAAGACCGCCGAAAAATGAAGCAAAATGTGTGGAGTGGCATATTAAGACGACACATGTGCAAAAACCGGAAAAAACAGAAGTACATATTTGCACTTATTTGTATTTAGTGTACCAGATGTTGCTACATGCAAACGTTCGTTGCCAGACTGGAGGACGCACGCTGGAGTGATTAATTTCTATAGACCTTTTCATCATCCTCCGCATGGGCGCTGCCATCTTGGAATCACGTGACGCGGCAGCCATTAGGTTGCTTCAACTTGCTGCTCCGCTCTCCCCTCCGCGCCTTGGCGGATGCGGAGTATTCGTGTTTTTCGTCGCGTTTCACCGCGCTTGCTTGCCTTACTTCGGAAACTGTAGTCCGATACGTCTACTCGACGACTCCTGAGGTTTGTGGCGAAACATTCTCAGTAAGAAGCGAGTATATTTATATCGCGCATTTAGGATTGCAAGGCGTCATGAATAATTATAATGCAATTAAATGCAAAGGGGCAAGCGAGCTGGACAAGAATGACGAAAATAAACCCTGGAGAAGGGGAACGAAGGGACAAAGGACAAACACCTTTCTCCAGGGTTTATTTTCGTCGTCAAGAATAGTCAGCACAAGGAGACTATCTGTATTCCGTGAAAGTATCGTTCTTTGTATTCATAATATATCGAAAACAGTTTCTTTTGATTATCTGAGGAAACTCGCGGAGGAGATAGACAACGAACTTTTAACTTGTATTTTATCTGAGGCTAAAAGTAAAGGTACGTTAACATCAAGCGATTTTTTTGTTCAAAATATCACACTTGCATGTGTATGAGGTTCTCAATCTCCTTTTTGCGACGTAGACATTCGGTTGGTCGGTTTACTTATGAAGTTTAAGAAATTGTATACTATGCTTAATTTACTTAACAGAAAGGTTGGGACCTCCCGCGTAAGAAACTGACACATACACTTAACAGTAGCGAGTTGTCCTTGTCCTTGCGCTGTTTGTTTTCCGCTAATGTGAATGACCAATTAGCCCAATCGTCAACACTAAAGAAATAACGTCGTTTCTATTTACAAATTCAAAACGCGGTTTGGGTTCGGCGCATGCGCAATAATGACGACGCTTTTTTTGTTTTTGCTTACGTTGTTTTATCTTTTGCCAGCATCTAAAATCCGCAATAATTAAGACCCCCCCCCCCCCCCAAAAAAAAAAAAAAAAAAAAAGAGCCGTCTTAAAAATAGTATTTGAGTCCAGGATTGTCGATGGCGAATAGAGGTTTACTTTTTGCGGCTGGCTACACCGAAATTTATAAAGCGAATTTGTGCTAAGAAATAAATATTTGTTCACACAGGTCCGTGAAGTGGTGCCTAGCGCTAGAATTCAGCCAAACTTTCCGAGGTATTTCTCCCCCTGCGCCCTTTAATTTCATTTGGCCAATTTTGCGGAAGACGAATGCCAGATTTAATTTGAAGGGCCTGTCACTTATATCCTGAGTAAGCAAATGTTCATATAAAAAATCTATTCCCTAGGGCGAATATCGCGAAATGCTGCTGATGAGTACTTTAGCAGTATTGATAATTTAAGAAATTTCCTAATCAGCCTGTCAAAACATGCATGAGTACTAAATTAAAAAAAAAAAGAGACCGAGACGATATTATTTGTTTCTATCAATTATCTGCGTCATTACACGATACGTTTTTATTCTGCGAAGTTCACTAAAGGCTGGGTGACCACGAAAACCAAACAGTGAGTTGTAAACTCGCGAGTTCATCTGTTCTGGCCGATTCAGAATATTGCTAATCAAGCTGTCGATATGCTTCCCCCTCAACATTCACATGTTAATTTCTTTATTAGTTTGTTTTTCTGGAAACTGGTGTCATCGGGTACGGTTATACACGATGGTAATTTTCCCTGCACATCAGTTAGGCGTTTCGCAACCGACCATAATCAGATACATCAATGGAGTTGGTAAAAAGAGCCCACCATTTAAGCTAAAATACACCTCATAGTCATCAAAGTTGCTCAATACTACTGTTTCATTGGTTGTGTGCTACCAGGAAAATAATCGTATCGCAAAACTAAGCAAAAACAGCGTAAAACAGCAACATAGTTGCGCTCACGTTGAAACCGAAACCAACCAAATTGAAGCAACCTAATGGCGCCGAGTGCGTCAGCGCCCTCTGTCCGCCGGTGAGGCAACTACTGAAATGAAAAGGTCTATAGGGTGCAACGATAGGGTGGTTCAAGTCACCAGGCTCGATCTAAAATGGACCGTAAAAATCGACGCCTGCACGTAGCAATCTAAACTTTTCGACAAAGGTGTATTTCACAGGTTGTTTTTTTTCCTTGTAAAATTACAAAGCGTAATACTCTTAGTAAAAAAAAACAGGGCCAAGAAACTTGCCAGGGTCTACGGCAGGGTGTAAGATAGACAGGTGGGGAAACGGCCCATAGAAGCCTACCGCAGCGCCGTGACCGGATTGTGTACTCGTCTGCTTGCGGGTACCCCGATTTGCGACAGATGGCGCTGCGGCGAGAGGAAAAAAGTCGGAATCGGATTTGCGTGGAACTCTGTGGGAGACTGCGCAAAGTAAACCGAGAGCATGACAGTCCTCCATTGAAAATTTACGAGAAACCATCTCCGTCAGTTTAAACGATCGCCACCGGTCGCCCACCCGGAGTGAGGGTTCGCGGTGCTCCACATAGATGGCGCCACAGAAGAAGAGAAAACCGAGGGGGACACAATCTGGTCGCTCATTTGGCTCTCGTTTCCCCACCTGTCTATCTAACACCCTGGTCTACGGCGGGCGGCGACCAAGTCCAGTAGCGGGGTGTGTTTGGTGTTCGTATTGATAGATGGCGTCGGGAGCAGCGTCTGAAGGTGCAGCCGACCAGCGAAAGAAAGCAGACGAAATCCGTTGGCAGCAAAAGCGCCGTCGTTATGCAGACGCGTTTTTTTTTTTTTACTTTAAAACACAACTCCGGAACTTTTGAACCGTTTTTCTTATTTGCATGAAATTGCAGGGTGTACTGATAGCACTGGACAAGGATGCTGTGGAAATTTTCAGCCCTATAAATTTATTCCACGATGAGTTACATAAAAGTTTATAATAAAAAAGTGTATCTGCTGAGGAAAGCTATCGTTTAGAAAGGGTACTGAAAATGGCCAGTTTTTTTTTTTTTTTTTTTTTTTTTTTTTTGGAACATACAGCAGAATACTTGCTTCAGACGACAATAAAAAGAAATTTCAAAAATTATAAAATTTATTCACAAAAAAATATGGAAAAAAGTTTTTTTTTTGTACATTTGGTCTAAAAGAAATATAAACCTTTCATAACAAAAGAGCATAAAAATGAAGAAAGTAAGTTCACAGTCGTGTTCTCCAGAAAATTTCAATATAGAAAAACCAAGATATATCTGCGCGCATAATTTGATTATGAAATGATAACTTCCCTGAACTGATATTTGACACAAAAAAGTGAAGCTGAGATAAATGCGCTTGAAGTTTCATGATAACGTATTAAAATTTTATTTTTGCGTCTTAAATGTCAGAAATTCTTTCCACCAGTGTAGGTGATGTCTTCCTCAAACTTCTGATATACTGACATTGCTTTCAGCTATTTTCACTTGTGGATGACGAGTGCTACGCAGTGCAGCAGACCTCACCAACATATAAAGAATAATTATTTTTGACATTGTTTGTCAGTGCACATTGACAAGACTTTGTGAGTGTTCTTTGTTATCCATACATGCCAAAACTTTGCAGTTCTGAATATGTTTTTTTTTAAGGTTTAATTTAGGGTAGTGTTCCCCCTTAAGTTTTATTTTTATTTTCGAATTTATTTTTTAACCGAAGGTACATTTCAAAAAGATTATATTCATTTTAATAAACCACGGTAGTCGCGAGCTGTCGCGATAAGGAGGTTGCGCCATCTATCAATACGAACGCCAAACGCGCCCCGCTACTGGACCCCTGTCGTCTGCGTTGCTGCCCGCCGTAGACCCTGGAAAGTTTCTTGGCCTTATTTTTTACAGAAAGAGAGCTACGCTTTGTAATTTTACAAGAAAAAATCG